TATATATATATATATATATATATATATATATATCTACACACATATATACACATGTGTGTGTGTATACATAAATATACACATCTATATGTGTGTGTGTGTGTGTGTAGATTCTGTTATATATGTTATAAGAAAGTTAAAATAATAATTTTTGGCATTTTTGGTAGATTTAATCATAAATTCAAGCACCTAGCTGTATACAGAAGTTCTTGAACTGGGCGATGAAGCTTTCAACCCACGTATATAGTTTTTAGTCCATAGGTTATGATTTCATTTATTCTGGGCTTGCATTATAAGGGACTTACTATTATTTTATCACATAAGTTTCTTATTGCTTAGGATTTGGAGATGCTTAATTAATAATTTTTTAAATTAAAAATTCTAGCTAACTTTCTTTTAATCGGTGATCGTTTTATGCAAGTCGATGAATCATGACAAATAAAGAAAACATTTTTATAAATATTTTTATTTGTAATTTGTTACAAGTTTGGCTTGTTTTGTTATATATGGCAGGTTTTATTTTTAAACTATCTTGGTTCTAAAATCTTTAAACAAATCAACATTATTTGATGAAATTGCTATGAATTGACTCAAACTACCCCTCTTAATTTTTAATCTAAATTCTTTATGCTAACTTGGCCTCTTTTGAGCATCACTCACTCCTTTTGCGTGCTTCTTTATGAATTAATTATTATTTTATTGAGGGTCATCTATCTCTGCAAGCCTCTACAGAAGACTACAGAGCTCTCACTGTATCTCTTCCTGGGTAGGTTTAAGCTTGTATATCCTTGATGACATGGTTAGAGTTTTGGAATTTGTGGGAGTGACAAGGACATTTGGTGGTAGGAAAGAAAAAAAAAATTGGTGATGTTGGTTTGAGGTATAACAGATGCTAGGAAACTCTAGGATAGGACTAGGCTTAGGCTAGACCCCTGATACCAAATAATACCGGAGTTAACCCAAACTAGAGTAAAAATGAAAATAATATTGTTGAAATTTAAAGAGAATTACAAACAAAGACACTGACAATAAAAAAATGAGACAAACACGAAAGATCTCCTAGGGTGAGGATCTGCATGTCGAGGTAGTAGAAAAGGATAATGAGAATTGATAGAGAGGCTTAATGAAAATGATTGGAAGGTGGTTTGCTGGCTGGGCAACAGGTTGGAGGCGGTGAATTGTGCGACAACAAGCCGATAGTCGATTGGGCCGATTGGACAACAAGCAGTGGAGTACGGGAGGGTACAACAACAAGTTAGGAGACTGAGGGGACGTAAAGGAGGGTGCTGGGATGGCTAGGACAATGTTGGCAGCAATAGGGAGGGCGGCAATAAGTAGAAGTGTCGGCGGCAAGGGAGAGTGAATTGGGAAGCAAGGAGAGATGGTCGACGTTGCAGGAGAATAGTACCATGGCTGTTTTCCTGTGGATGAAGCAAATACAACGACAAAGGCAATAGCCGGAGGGTTGCAGATGGATGGGGAGGTTAGGGATAATCACCATCTCAGATAAGATACAACCAGAGCACCACTCATCGTCAGATACAGTCCTGAAAAGGAAATCCTGGATGCCGTTGGCTGCCATAACAAAAATTTGAGCAATAAAACTAAAACCTAAAAGCAAAAAGCACATATAAAAGCCCTAGATAAGTAGGATTGGACCCTCCTCGATCTGGACTGGTTTGGTCTAGGCGAAGGACACCGCGTTAGAAGCCGCAGCTCCCCTTACATCGCCCCTGCGACATTACATGGTATGCTAGCTCCGTTCTTGATGCGCTCACGTCATTGACATTGTCGTAGACATTAATTTTTTTAATTTTTTATTGATTATTCTTTATTACTATATAGGGAAACAAAATGAGGTTAAAGAAGAATAAAATGGAAAAACTTAAAACTCAACTATGAAAGAGTTAGGGGAGGAAACTAATATTATGATGATAACTCAAATGCAGATCCCTTGAATGGTGAGAGTGCTGATGATCTTTTATTGTTTTTTTCTTCTTATTTAGATCCATGAATGTTATAATATTGGGCAATAGGAGTAAGAGAAATCTATTAGGCTAAACTCATCGTATGTCTTTGAAATTTTTTGCTAAATTCGTTTTATTTTCATTATATTTTTTCTTTATACAAGCTGTTACTATTTCATATAAACACAATGTCACTTTTTTATATATTAATAGTCTTCCATTCATATATTTATAAGTTATTGTGCTAGTGTTTATATTTTCTTACCCCTTCATTTTGATTGATGCAATTTTCAAATTGCGAGGCTTATGCCTTAGACCAACTCGAGGCTTACATCTCGCCTCACGAGAGAAAAATACTTCAATACCCAATCATGCATTTTTAAACATTGCTCGCAATAAAATAAGTTGTAGACGCCATTTTATGTAGAAGAAAGAAAAAAGAAGTTTAGCATGAAAATACGAGGATAAAGGGGCTCACTAATTGGGTTGTTTGATGCATTTAAGATCCTATAATTTTTAGGAAAAATATATGAAAATTATCACATTCAAAATTCTCTATTTTAATAGTATGAAAACAACCTATACTTTCAGGTTGGGTTGCTCATATCGTAAAGATAATGGATGAGCAATGGTAGGTAAAGGTTGAGTCTCCTGCTATTGGTTTGTGTTAAATTTTTATGTTGGTATGCCCTTTATGGAAGCATTTCTTATACGTTATACTGTTAGTATGGATATATGAATGTTTCACACGTCTTGATTTTGGGGGAAGCTCTTTCACTTTCCTTTTTAAAATTTTTTTAGGGCTTGAAGAAGAGATCCCATCATGAAAGTGTTTCTTTTAGCATAGATGTTTACTCAACCAACTCCTGAAGGAATTATCTATTAGGGTTTCTAGAAGCGTTTTGATGGTACTTGTTAACAACATGGATATTGCTAACAGATGTTGAAACACATATTTTGGTCCATATTTTCTTTTGAATGGTTATTTTTGCAGCCAATATATATATAATGATAAGGTGGTTGTTCTTAGATTATATCAAATACTTCTAATTTGTTTCAATGAAATTGAAGCATGTGAGGTAATGAAGCAGTTTTAAATTGTTAGATGCTCTTAAACGAATTATGGTTATCAACATCTAGGGTGCTAACATCATTTTAGGTGTTTACTCAAGCAGAGTGAGTTACTAAAATTTATATCTCTATCACTTAGGTATGGCTTAGTTTTTTTTGTAAAAGCACATAGTGATAATCTTCACATTAATAAAACTATAGGTTTCTTGAATTTTTCAAGTTCCATTGTATTTCAAGCATTAAATTCTTGGTAACCAGATTACGTTAAACAAGTACAAAAAATTATTTAATCTTATAACATGTATTGCCTCAGGGCATTGTAATCTTTGCCACTATCGCTTGTCATCATTCATCTTCTCTTTTACATCACTAGATCTTTGGCTCTCTGTCTTATAAAAAATTTGCTACAATATTTATACTTTTTTTAGATCACCTTATACTAAATTGTCATATTGAAAAATTAATTCATCTTCTGCATTTGAAGTAAAAGTACACTTCTCATTATTTTGCACCATAAAGGAAGGCCTAAACTTAGACATACACTAGTAAAAGCCGCTTCCTTAGTTTTGCACGACATTATGATTTCATGCTACCTTGCTCAAATGCTTAGACAAGCGCCCCCTTTGTCTTCATTGGCATTACAATCCGAACTATTTAGTTCTTAATAGCCACACTCATATAAATCTAAAGTAAGTTTGTTTCTCTAAATAGTCTTAAATGGATTTTGATGTGCCATGCCCAAAATGACCCATGATCTAAATCAATAGTAGCCCTATAGGGCCTAGTGTTTTATCTTCTCCTCCTATAAAGTATATAGACATGTACTAACAGTATCTCCCTGCCCCTTGCCCTCCTAATGTGGAGGATGTTAATGTTCTCAATGAACTTAGTTAATAACAATGGTTCTAGCCTCGATTGCCTATGCTTCATGTTTCTACCCCAACCTAGCCATCTACCTATTTCACCACATCTGCATGGCTATTGGATCATCTTTGCCAATCATAGTCTTGCCCTCTGTAATAATCGTAATGATGCAGATTATTAACTTAATTAAGATTAATTAGTTAATTGATAATCTTAGAATCATTACAATAAGCTTGTTACCTCTTTGACCATAAGGGCACTTGTTGGAGCCCCAATGCCCAAATCCACCGAACTATAAACATGTGCTCTGCCTTTGTTGAGTCTCCCTCATCCCAAAGCGGTCAAGGCTAATTCAAGTTTAGTTGGTTTGTACTATTTTAAATTGTTTCAAAGAAATTGATCCAAGATTGGAAAGAAAAAATGCCGAAAGTGTAGACTTTGACTATAACATCAACCAAAACATCACCGCATGTTTGTCTAATACTTTTTTTTTCCAATGCCAGAACTACTTTTGTTTCTATCTTTTAATATAAGGTCTATAGGCCATTTTTATTCAATTTTCTTCAACTTGAAACTTAAAGATCTCAAGAAGAGAAGAAGAAGCCATTTTTCATAAATCCCATATTTTGTCCTGTGGACTGGGCCGATCTTGATCATTTGTTTGATTGTCTACATGCATTAGTAATTTAGAACAGAGATGCGGGTCATACGAGATGCATCCTGCCTTGCTCACAAGTGTTAGGTTCATAACAAATATTAGGCTATGTTTTCTTCGGCACTATCTGTTATTTTTTTTTTCATATCTACCTCCTTTCTAAAAGAAATGAATATAATTAAAAGACACGTGCACCGTTCAACACACAGTATTCTCATTCATATCTGCATGTGTAAAATTGTAAACTATGATTTTTTTTGTGATTAGCTTATCAATTATATTTTGCTCTTCATTTTATTTTAAGCACTTGATCGTGTTAGAAAACAATTGTTTTTTATTCCTTTTAATTATGTAAATTCTTATTTGTTTCAGGTTTGGAGTTTATCATTGGGAAGGTTGCTTAGAAGCATTACATTTCCTTCCATAATTGATGCAGTTGCAATGGATCCGGGGGAGCATATATTTTATGCTGGTTGTAGAGATGGCAAAATATATATTGCCACACTTAATGCTGAGTGGAATCATACTGGAAATTATGGAAAATTTATTATAGATTCACTATCTGATAACGGGTGATTTTTGTTTTCCTCTTCTTGCCCATCCATGCACTTTTTATAGCTAACAATGTTTCCAGTGCCTTTGATAGAATCTAGATTGTTTAATGACTAGTTAAAAATGCATTTATTTGTTAGACATGACATGAAGATTTGTGATTCTTATGATATGCGTTGGAATATATGATTAATTTTGACAGAATATATAGTTTTAATATTCTTTTCTATACACATGTACATGCACTTGCAAATGCATACACACAGTCACAAAATTCTTTGTCATTAGTTTTGAAATACAACACTTATTTTCACGGAATTATTGTATATACATGCTAGTTGACAGATGCTAGAAAGGCAGGTTTAGTTATTTAATGTCCTAATTGCCATTTTAAAGCAATCTTTTTTTCATTTAATTAAGCTTAGTAATCATAATTTTTTGATACATGCAATTGTCTCACTTGATTTTATTTAATGCTTATGCATGAAAGCCTTAGATAATGATGAACTAAATCCAAGCACACTCAGTGGTCTCAAATAAAATATGAATAAGCATAATTCTAACTAATAGCAATCAACAACGTCAATTAGATAAAATATTAAAGAGTATTGCTTTGGATAGGAACGGAAAGCATTATGTATGGATAAAAAAATAATTTATCTTTTAAATAGGCTAAATTGCATGCTCTTTAGTTCTCGGCCATCTTTGCTATTCATCGTATCGATGTTATTTAATGTAATTAGCTAAAAAAATGATCAATAAAATTTCATTTGAAGCCGTTGAATGTGCTCAGATTTTATTCTTCAGTTTTTTAAACCTGCATAGGTTTGGAATAAAGTTAAATGTTAATTAAGATCATTCTAGTTAAGTTTAAAACAATATAACATTTAACTCCATCTTAAATGTTTTCATGTGGAGGAATAAAGTATAATAAAATTGTAAAGACAATCATAAGCATTTACAACAAGTAAAAATTCTAAATAAAAAAAAATATTACATGTGATATCTTAGGCAATGGCTACATAAGAATCCAAGTTAGCATGAATTAAATGTTCTAATATTAAGGTTATAAACAAAATTACATTGCAAAAAATTCATCAAATTTTTGGAGTTCGGAAATTTTAAATTAAAAAAGTTTGGTCGAGGATGCAAGTCCATTAACGAAGGTTTTAAACGAAATGACAATGCACAAACGTCTGGTCAAGAATGCAAGTTAGCATGAAAATTTCTTCAATGCAGCTCCAACATATGTAAATTTCTAGCGAAGCCCATCGCTTGTATACACCTGTATTACACATTTAAATGTCTGTTATTTGAGAAATGATATTGATTAATATGCCATTAAAATTTATGTAAACAATGTTAAATAGGAATTTTGCGGTGTTTGGAGGATTTTGATGTGCATACAACTCCGCTAGGATTTTGTACTTTTGTCGTTATTTATTTTTTATAGTTCCTCGAGTGTTATCTTTTGATTTTTATGAACCATTTTATTGAAATTTCATCCAGTAAAATAAATGAATTATATATTTTCTATGATAAATTTCTTCTCAATTCTTTGGTGTCCTTTTCTCATTTTTATCCATTTTATATTGCCTTATTCACCTTCAATTCGTTGAGTTGGTTCTCATTTCAATGTCAAGGTTTTTTGTTCTCTTGCACAAACTCCCTTAGTTTATGTTATTGTAGCTTGGGATATTACTAATGCATGTAAATCCTTTATTATAGTGATAATAGTTGTGTGAATGGTTGAATGCTTAATATAATCTTAAGTTTCTTTGTGTCAATTTTGATCATGCTAATTTTACATAAAATTGCATTCAACTTATGCACTTTTATTTTCAAATGAATGTATTCTTTCTATTTGTATTTATGCATTTCTACACAATACACATTTTACCTTTTTGTTTGTTTATTTATTTACTCATATTCTCTTATACAGTAAGGCCATTACTTGTTTAGCATTTAGCATGGATGGTGTCACCCTTGTGTCTGGATCAGAGGATGGTATAATCCGAGTTTGGAATACTAGAAATGGACAAATGACTCGATTTTTGAAACACGCCAAAGGTACTTACAACAAGGAAAAAAATGAACTTTTTATCTATTTAACTAAACTTGTGATATTTTTTCTATAGATCAGTTTTATAGGGGACCTCAACTTGACTTAATGTATAGTAGTAAAATTCAACGCTAATAGCTATTATTTTTGTGCATTAAAGAACAAAATTTTTTTTCTATGCTTCATTGACAACCATGCAATCTTCTCCAATCTTTTATTTCTAAGTTGTTTTGTATTTTAATTCTTTTTAATATCTTTTACTATCACGTAATTGTACTTGCTTGTGTTTTCTATCTGATTTTATTCATAGCATCAATAGTTATGTTTTTGTTGTTTCGGTGTTGCTAGTGAAGCTATTTGAGTCGATTCCTATCAAATTTCATAGTTTAAAATAATATTTTTTAAATTCATATATCGGAATATTTACACATTTACACACATATTTCCATATATTGAGTTTATTCAAATTAATCTCAAATGAGCAATTATCGAAAAAGTTGAGTTTTTAGCTTAATTACCAACTGAAGTAGAGCTGCAAATGAATCAAGCCTAGTTGAGCATGAGCTTGGTCGAGCTCGAGCTTGTTTTTCTAAACTAAGTTCGAGCTCGAATTGAGTTGTAAGAACAATGTCCGAGCTTGAGCTCAAGCTCGGACATGGAAATGATGTTTGAGTTTAAGTTCGTGCTCGATTTGAACTTCATTCATTTAGGTTTATCGACCTTGTACAACCGCTCATTTGACAAAGAAAATGGGCCTTAATTGAGCCTACTATCGAGCTAGTGCACGCGGTTTTAAGTTATAATGTTCGCAAGCGCCTTTGATCTGATGCCATAGAGAGGAGCCATACTTTCTAATGATGCTTCAAACATACCAATTGGCAGCTTATCCAGACGAAAATATCATAAAAATTGATTTTGAATTATGTCATGAAAAAAGAAAAAATAGGTGAAGGGAAACAAGTTTTTAAATGGGGTTAGCTCATTGTAAAGAAGGCCAAATTCTTAGAGAAAGAAATATAGGCTGTTTGGTAGCAGGATTTAATCCAAGTCCTGCCAAATAGCAAAATAGAAGACTTTAAATCCTATATAACTTTGGTAAATTTAGCTGGTAGATGGATTTACAGGATTTAAAACAATGCAAGCGCGCAAAGCAGGTGGGAGGAAAGACATGTTGCCTTCAATTTACAGGATTTAAGACAATGAAAGCACGCAAAGCGGGTGGGAGGAAAGACATGTTGCCTTCACTTCTTTTCCTCGATGGTTTCACATAGGACTGGAGCGAAAGAGCGAAGTTTCGGAGGCATCTTCTTCGGAGACAGGGATCCCGTCTTTGCCTTCCCAGCTAGCTTCAGTCACGACTTCCGTGAGGGTTATTGGGCAGGGAAGTTAACGCCTCTACTCTAATAGTGAATGCACCTGTGAAATCATTCGACAGTAAAGCAAGCATCTTTGTGGCCGAGAATGGTTGCTTCATTGAGACCCATTCATCTTCGTGCTTTTTTCTGGCCTTTCATGCTTTTTTCTTTGTTCTCCGTAAGTAGGGCACACTAGAGACTGGAGAGAAGAATGAGTGAATGAAGGGAGTGGGAGAGTGGAAAAGGGTTTCACTTTCAGCGTTTAGGCGTTCAAAATTTCACAGGGTTTTTTCCGTCTTTCTATCTAAAGACATTGATCACTGTTAGCCTTTGATGGACTGCTAAGATTTAATAGTAATTTAGGGTATTTATTAGAAAACCATTTAAAAAATTTAGAAGAGGAAATTCGCTCTTAAAGTGATATTTATTTTGTTGTATTTTTTAGTTTAAATATGATTAATTCTTTTATAAACATATAAAAATTAATTTTAATTGTAATATTAAATTCAGTCTTAATTCCAACTTTAATCGAGCGGTTTCATGAACATTAATTGGATATGTTCACCAAGCCTCTTAACGAGTTTGTTTGAGTATTTAATGATAGTGTTCGTGAATATAAATGAAACAATCATAGACTTGTTTATTTAATTATGGAGAATTTATAAAAGTGTTTAAGCATGCTCGATTAGATAAACAAATGAATATTAATGATCTCTTCTCGTTTCGTGCAATGAGTAGCTCGTTGAACGCTCAGTTTGTTTGCAACACAAAATCCAAGTTATGGCATCAGTGCACCGCCTCTTTTTTGTTTTTTTTATCTAGTGAAAAATATGCAAGAACTGTTACACTGGTGCCCAGGTATAATATCAAATAAGCAATGGTTCTCACATTATGGATGAATGCGAGTAAAGAAGTTTGTCCATGAAACTAATATTAGGATAAAATCTTAGAATATATGTACTCTCACTGGTAAATTAATGGAATTAGTTGATATTATGATTCATAGGAAGATAAATATCTTATATATTCAAAAAAACTATCGAAGAATAAGAAACTAAATTGATAGTTTAGGTTTTAAACTTTGGTATTCAGATAGGAGTCACACTAGAAATAGTGTAGGTATAATTATAGACAAGAGTTTGAAAGATAATGTTTCTAAAATTAATAGAATTATAGATAGAATTATAGCTCTTAAGATTATTGTTGATACTGAGATTTTTAATGTTATAAGTGCTTGTGCTCTTCAAGTAGGTTTAGATATAGGTTCTAAAGAAAAATTCTGGAATGACCTTGAAGAATTAATACAAATGATATTTTTTAAAGAAAAAAATTTTATTGAAGGAGATTTAAATAGACATGTTGGTAAAGTGGTAGAAGATTTTATAAATATTCATGGTGATTATGATTTTGGAGTGATTAATTAAGAAGGTAGAACCATATTAGATTATTTTTAGCATATGATTTTGTTATTGGAAATATTTTATTTAAAAAAATGGATGAGCATATTATTACTTATAAAAATGGATCTAATAAAAAACATTGTTTATTTCTTATGAGAAAAAGAGATCAGCGACGATGTAAATTATAAGTCTCCATTCCAAGTGAAAGTTTAGATACTCAACATTGTTTATTACTTCTGGAAGTTAAGATGAAGAGTTTTAAGATAAATAATATTAGGAAAAATTGTCATAGAATTAGATGAGGTCACTTAAAATAGACAAATAAATTTTTTTTTATGAGTAAAATTCAAGATTTCAAGATTTGAGATGTTCATAAAGAAGCGAATTTTAACAAATGGTAAAAGATATACTTGGAGAATCAAAAGAGAAAAAATTGTTATAAATAAAAACAGGTGGTGGTGGAATAATAATATACCAGGAAAGATAAAATATATGAAGTTGTGTTATAAAAATTGGTTTAATTGTAGAAGCTTAAAGAACTGGAAAAAAATATAAGGTGGCCCGTAGGGAGTCTAAGAGAATAATTTCTGACTCTAAAATTTATGCTTCTACGAATCCTTATGTTACATTAGATACTAAAGATGGTGAAAAATATATCTATAAACTAGCCAAATGAAGAGAAAAAAATAATGATTTAATTCAAGTAAGTGTATTAAATATGAAAATAGATATTCAACATAGGTGTATGAGCTATTTTAATAAATTTTTCAATGAAGTTTCTAAAAATAAGATCAAACTTAGTTATCTTGGCATTGTTATTAATAACAAAATATTTTATTTTCACATTAGGAAAAAGGAAGTTGAAGGGGCTTTAAAGAAAACTAAAAGTGGAAAATCAACAGGAATTGTTTAATGCATTTAACCTAATATATTTGTACGATTCTATTAGCTTCTTTAAATATTAAACATATTTGAGCTTTTAAAGTTTCAGTTAACAATATTTGGAATTGATTTTGCCTACAAAAGTTTCATTGGAAAAGCATAGGTGATTTGAGACTCCTTATTTTTTTCATTCTATAACCCGATCTCAATTATAGTTTTTCCCTATGTTCTTGGACAAGATTTTACCAAATTATTAAAAAAAAAAAATGACCACTTCCCTGTTGAATTGGTTAGTCTTATTGGTGCAAATCAACTATCAGGGTTTTGATCATGTTCTACTAGTTTTATTTTTTATTTTCTATTATGTTTTGAATGTAACATCATTTGATTTTGGTGCCTATAAGTACGAGATATATTTTCTAATGTTTTAAGTATTTATACAGGTTTAAGTCTTAAATTTTTTGTATTTAGCTCTCAAATTCTTTTGGACAGTTGTGTCCAACTCATGCTTTTTCCAGCTAAGTGATTTGGAAATTCTTGCTCAATTTTATTAATGTCTTTGCCTTTTCACTCTAGTTTTGATCGATGGTTATTCTGGTAGAGATTGAATCATGATTCTTGTTTGCTTTACTTTGTGTAAAATGTGTTTTGCCTCTAAATTTTATCTTATTGTGGTTGATTCATGTCACCCTATGCTGGAATACAACTGGAGGGTATTCTTCTTTGGCTGGGTTTACTATTTTTCTGGTGTAATTTTGTTTGACCTTCTGTTTCCTTTTTCTTTAGAATAGATTATTAGATCATGGATTGGATGCTTCATATTCTGTGGGAAATCTGAGATTGCTAAATTGGAACTTTTAGTTGTAGGTCGTATCTTTAAGAGTTGAGACGAATCACTAATTTGAGCCCCTTTGTTTAATAAATAGGACCACTACGACATGTATTTTATAGTGAATTATTAACATTTTTATGTGTTGTTAGATGTGGATTTTTTGAGTGATTGCAAGTCTTACTGGTAACTTCATGTGGATTCTTCTCCATGTACGAGCGTGAGGCTTGGATTTTTAATTGCTTGTATTTATTCCATTTCATTTAGACGGTATTTTTATTATTTTTGTGCATTTACTTAGCAATTTCTCTTTTTGGTGCTACTAATCTCTATTGTTGTGGAAATTTATATTTATTCTCAAATTTCTTGCAAAAAATTAAAATTTTGCAAATTTTAAATCATTGTTTTAACTGAATTAAATGTTTTTCTTTTGGTTTTGCTAATTTTTACCTTTTAGTAGTTGGGAAGTTTTGAATTTTGATCTTATGCATGTTTTCTTTGCTCATTTTATTCTAGGTTTACATCAATGAACCCCTAGACCCAAGGCACTTTGTATTAAATTGCAAGTGCAGATTATGGTTGCATTATTATTGTCAATTATAAGTGAACATTAATTAAATAAATAAAAATGAATTCATGATTTAGTTTAATAGAATTGGATAAGTTATGGCTTTCAACGAGCATTTTATTGCTATTATGAGGTTCGAAATCATATTCCTACATTCCATCAGAGAATCTCAAGGATTTTTCTTAAATAAATCAAGAAATTTAAATGCATTTTTGAATATTAGAATCTACTTGATTTGAAAGACTAGCCATGCTTAATCAAAACTTGTGGGGCATCTATGTTATTTTAGCAAAATGTAGCAATTAAAACTAAACCTAGATTGGCAAACTTAATAAATAGATTTAAGGAAAAATGTCTAAATTCACACGCTCGAGCCATAGCATTCGACCATGCATATGCTAGTGCTCTGCATATTCAGGTTGTCTTATTGTCCTAGTTAGTGCCTTAGTCGTATGATTACGTTTCCCTAGCCACATGACAATGCGACCGCGTTCGTGGAGCGAAGTCACCTAGGTGAACATGTGGGAGATGTGAACAATTCCTACATGTTTTGTCAATTCAAATGCCTGTGATAACTTTGATGAGTAACATCATTTTTTAAGTTCTTCTCTGCATGCATATTTTCATAGTCGTCTTACACATGATATGCCATTTTAGGGTTTCTTTAGTGAACCGATTCCGTGGTTCTCGACACTGAAGCTCTCTTATGGTGTCGGTGTCTTATTAATTTAAGACTTGTAAAGAAGATGAATGTGTTATGCATAAATATTATGATAGGTTTATGGGTCTTGTAACTAAAAAAATATTTTTTGAGGTTATTTTCTTTTCATCATCCAATTCATTAAAGCTTTTATACATGTATGAATATTATGAATGAACTAAGCCGTGGTTCAACAAAAACACTATAACTATATTTAGATATTTGAATCTAGACATATTTGGAATTATGTATAATTCTATAATGGTTAACACATTTGTAATTGAAGTTTTTAAAAAAGGAATCATTACATCTCCTTTAAACTCTGCCATAATCCTGCCTAGTCATTCTATTCTTTTGCAAATGAATTAGAAGAAAAAATTATTAATGTTGTTTCCTTTTGCCTCTAGAATTTGAGTGTGCATTTGGGCGAGAGAATCCAATTTTGAAATAGAGTTTTAGTCTACATTTAAATTTTTATTTGAAATTGAACTCAGATTTGGTGGTTAATGAAAACTTGAAAATACTTTTGATTGTAAATTTGAGATTTTACTTCAAAATGTGAACTTAAACTTTCAGTTTATTTTGGATATATTTATAAAATGAAGTTGAGTTTCTAAAAGACATTAAATCTACTCCTGTAATCAATGAATTGATTGAACACACTTATTTAAAAGAACTCAAATTAATTTAGTTTTTGTTTCTTTGTTTCTAGTTTCTTGATTTCCAAACTCACATAGATATTATGCAGGAAGTCAAACCGCATTAATATTTTTCCTATTTTTCTAATAATGACAATGATATTCACATGATTTGCATGGTCTGCATCACATAATGACATTCACAACGAATTAATTGTTCAATATGACAATGACATTATAAGTGTCTTGTTCATGTAAATAGACGATTTGTGGAATTCAAACCAGATGATTAAGTGGTGGTACACCTAAAGTTTGAAATGCATTTATAGAGACATTTGAGAAATTAATTGAAAAAAGGCCAAGATTATATAAAATCATAGAATGAATTTGGGTAAATGCTTATAAATTAGAAATTTTGTATGGTTCTGTAACAAGCTCAGTATTCATTGTATTTATTTTGACTTATTTTTATAAAATTGCTAAATCCTTGGATTTTTATTTCTTTAGATCCCCTGCGAAATAATGTCCAAGGCATCATAGTTTTATATCTCCTGTTTTGCATTTTGAAGCCACCACTGGGGATGGGCAACAAAAGTATCTTATACTTTGAGATGGCGCACTTTGTTGGAGACAGTTTTTTCAAGCTAGGCAGATTTATGTAAATCAACAATTTGACTTTTGACATTGTTTTTGTCATATTTTTCTTTTTTCTACTTTGTTTTGAATGTATCGTGCCTATGATATTAATGGCTACACATTCTTTGTTGTTTTTGAGTGCCTTATTTGGCTTGTTTACTGTAATGAATATTTTATTATTCAGTTCTCAGTTTCTCTCAATTAATCGTTGATCATCTGATGACCTTTTTAGGAGAGATGTTTTAGATTTTACTTATTTTAAGAAAGGTAGAGGGAGACCTAACAAGAATTGGGCTTGTATAAAAGATAATTTTAATTTATTAGAATTAAATGAAAATGACACTCAACAGGACACAATGGAAAAGAAGGATCCATGCAGCCGAACCTACTTAGTGGGATGAGGCTTGTTGTATTTGTTGTTGTGGCTCTAAGTTTCTCTCGATCATGTTTGTCCAGCTTCACCACTTTATGGATTTGGAAATTGCTGCTACTTTTTTGTAAGTTTTTGAATTTGCAATGCAGCTTTGATCAACACTTGGGTACTCTTGGATATATTGATTATAGTTGGCTTTGCCTCCTGCAACTCCTTGTCGCTTTTGGTTTTATCTTAGGAAGATTTACATACATACCACTCAATTCTTATATATTTACATGTCTAACACCTAAATTTCAATTTTCTAACACCTAAATTTCAATTTTTACAATTTTTACATACATGCCACCTTAGCTATGCATGAAAAGGTGTATTTCACTTTTTAAAGTAAAAATGGTGATATTTTTGATATTATATGAAATAATTGGGTGTTATAAATGTAAAAAAGGAAAATTTAGATGTTAGATATGTAAATTCATATGAATTAGGTGGTATGTATGTAAATGCATCTTTATCTTACCGAACCTAATTCATATTTCCTGGCGGTTTATCCCTTTGTTAGACCGTAGATGGCATCTTTTCTTTTTTGGCCGGGCTTGATATCTTAATGCTGTAGTTTTGTTCGGTTGTCTTTTTATTTTTTCTATTAAATCGACTGCTGTGTTTAATCATTGATTGAATGCTTTCTGTTTTGTGGGAAATCTGTGATTGATAAATCAAACTTGGAGTTTTAGGCTGGGCTAGCATACATGCAATTTATGATGAATTAGTGAATTCAATTTCTTTTTTCTCTCAAACTTCAGTTGCTCTGTTGGATGTTGATTTTTCAAGTATTGCAATCCTTCATTAAAACTTATGAGGGATGCTTCTCCTTGTATCGATGTTGCAAGTCTCGACTACAATTTTTGGGGGATTCTTCACCTCTTACCTATGTGATTCATGGATATTTAATTTGATAACTTCTGTTCTTGTTTCTTTTCATCTCTATTATTCTTTTTTTAATTGGTTTGTGTGCATGAATGAGAGTTGATCTTGTTTGTATATTTAATAAATTTGTGCACGCATGAAAGAGATTTGGTCACATTCCTTACATACTTGGCCGTTACATACTTGGCCGTTACATACTTAGTCTTAAATCTTTCGGGCACACTGACTCTTGAACTTTTAGAAAATCATTAGGAGTGATTTAAATATGTTTTTTTGGTTTTGCATTATAATATATTAGTAGTTGCGTAAGATTGAAGCTGGAAAACTACAAATTTTTTTCTTTTGATTGTTTTTTGTTTATCTCATCCGACTTTTGGATTAAGGAATCCCTATACCACAAACAGTCGGCATTTTTACCTTTTTTATTTGGTTTATTTGTCTCACCTTTGTATAAAAATGCCCCATCTTTCATTATTTTCCAGCTACATCCAATCTTCGTTACTTGGTTTTTCTTTGTTACTGATTGCGTATTTCTTTAGCCAGCATTTGCTTCCTAAATTTATATTGTTGTCAACTTAATGGTGCACATGACGGAGCTCTGTAAGTTGTTTCTTTTTTTATTTTTTGGATTTCAGCTGCATTTAGAGTTGCTTTAAATATCAACTCTGCTACTTAAAAGGCTATTTTTGATTTCTTATTGATTGCACAACTTACCGAAAGATACCTAGTTGCTACATACAAAAGTTAGTTTGATTGCTTATCTTTTTTAAGTATCTAGCATAGATGTTTTGAACATTGTTTTCATATTCAAATGTCAAAGTTTGGAGTTTATAAAGTCAGTCTATTTTCTAGAATATTTTGTATTAATGTGGTTTTATATTCAGGTTTTGAATATTCATTTGATTTTCATAATATTCATGCCTTGAGCTAATTGGTGGCTTCTCTTATGTTATTAAGTGATTTATTTTTGCCTCCCATCTATATTATATCATTATTATCGCCATTCATTTTATTATATTTCATAGCAATACTTGCCAAGATAATGACTCAACATATTCATTTTTTGTAGTAATTACACTTATCCCTGTGGTAAATATTTGTATGATAAGCACGTTAACTTTGAAAAATATCATGACTTGCAGATGTATGGCTTGAATATTTATTTCGTTGTCATTGTTCTTAGATGGTTTGGTCACATTAAGCATCGACCATCTGATGATCCGATTAGGATAGTAGATGTTTTAGATTCGACTTATGTTAAGAAAGGCAGAGGTAGACCTAGGAAGACTTGGGCTTATTGTATAAAAAATGATCTTAATTAATTAAAACTAAATGAAATTATGACACTAAATAGGACGCAATGGAGAAAAAGGATTCATGTGCCGTTATTCATGTAGCCGGCCCCGCGTGGGATTAAGGCTTTGTTGTTGTTGTTGTTGTCGTCGTCGTCGTCGTCGTCATCGTCAGTGTTCTTAGATTGTATTATTTTTGTTACTTTTGTTGTATTTCATTTTCATGAATTTCTAACACATTCTTTAGCTATTAACTGCTTTCATTTGTCCTTGTATGGAACTTTTAGTACAAGCCAATTAATCATATGTATGATTTGCTGTTGTTTTTTGCACTGCAGCCCCTATCAGTAACATTCTTATTATCAGGCAACCAACTAAAATTTCTCAAGTGTCCTTATCTAGAAAGCAAGAGAAATTGCTAATGGCACAGCCTTTGGATAAATATATAGACTCCAGAGAAGATGAAGTTGAGAGCAAAGTGGTTAAAATATTTCAACATAATTCTAATGACTCAGATAAGAACTGTTACTGTGCTGCCCATGTCTTGAGCAGTCAACTTAAAGAGCTTCAGGTCTCATTCTCCACTCTTTTTATTTCTAAACATCGTTGTTATTATCGTATTCATATGATTTTCCTCAAATTGTTTTTTTTTAAACTTTTGTCTTGGTCCATCTTCAATAGCAATTTTCTGAAACTGACTATATCTTAATCAGTTTTAATTCACATTAGTTCCTTTTTTTTGTTATTGTACAGCAATATCTATTATGACTTTACAGCACATCGGATTAATGTTTCATCATACAGAATTTGATCTTGGGAATTTGTTGGGCATGCTTTTCTGTTCTTCTTTGATTTGTATTTTATAAAATTCTCTTAATATCTATACTGCAACATCTATTATGTATTTTACTTTGCATGTATTTGTTTTAATTTTTGGTTCTTTTTTGGTTGTCAGCAAAATGCTTCTTCTGGAGCTGCACAAATGGAGTTGGAAAGGTTGAGAGGACAATGTCAGAGATCAGTGCAAATGGCCCAGCAGTGGAAAAATTTATATAAAGCCCTTCAGACTACCGTTGTTAAGGAGCTTCTTAGTGGAGTTAACGCTGGTAGCAGCTAATGCAACTCAGGCAATTATTTTTCCTTCAAAAAATTTTGCTTTAGGCTTCTTGAAATAGTTCTTTATTGCTGTTGTGGTAGAAAAATAGGGAAACAGATGGCAGTTTGTTTTGATGGCGTTTATGTTAGAAATTTTATTGACAGAATTTGATTTGAGAAAATAATTTTAAATAGCAAAAGAAGAAACTCATAAATCTCTTTAAAGGAAGCCTGTGGTTTAAATATTTGCTTCCTGATGATTTATTGAATTTATTTATTTTTTTGGAAAGGTTGAATGCAAAAATTCAAATATGGTATTAGGAAGGATTCGATCTCGAGATTTTCACAAATATTTTTTTGGGAATTTTCTTAGTTATAAGTTAGCTTGTGCTCACACTGATTATTCGATATGGGATTGTACTTGATCATTTACCAAAAGTACAAGTTTATAAGGAAGCAAGTTTTATTTTTAGCTTATATTTAATATTATATACTGATCTGATTTCTTCAGCTTGCTCTGCATGTCGCGCGTGTGTGTGGGTGCAGGCCGGTGGGCGTTAAGAGTAAGATCTTAATTCTATTATATGCTGATAAGATTTCTTCGACTTGCGCACGCGCGTCTGATTTCTTCGACTTGCTTTGTGCGGGTGACTGGGCGTGCTTGCGTGCGTCAGGAGTAAGATCTTAATTCTATTATATGCTGATCTGATTTCTTCGACTTGCTTGTGCGCGACCGCATTTGTGTGAGCCTAGTTGGATCAGATGCCAGTTTAGATTCATAGGGTATAGAGTGGGGTCCGAGTTCATTTAGTTTGGTTTAGCTTTTGTCTATTGAATGCATATCAAGCCAGATATGCTCAATTTGGGATTGTGATTTTTTAAGTTTAGGCTATATTAGGATATTAATTAAAAAAAAATCTTAAAGAATTGTTTGGTAAAATTTATTTTTTAGTTTTCATACAACCAAATTTTCTTACAAATGTTGGAGAAATCCCTCGCATTCTATTTAAAGAAAGATGAGCAAGCAGAATGCATGCCAAATGAAGCGGATATTGAAGGAATAGTTATGATGTTTAAATGTCTGTGGAATTCAAAAAACAACTTTTTAGTAACTGTGGACTAGTTGGATGTTCTGAAGTGTTTTTAATGAATATAAACATTTTTCATATAAATTGATGATCATACTTTGAGGTTAAATTTGATTAGGGGTTCATCTTCATCAATAATTTGGCAATATATTGTGAGAAAAAGTCAAGATTGTGGGTTCATTTGAAGTAACTAAGCCCATTCAAAATTTTGTCATAGACTCACCATTCAGATGATTTAGATTGAGTGATAGATTTGTTCCATTCTGAAGGGAAAATTTAACTGACGAAACATCTTTTTTGTAGTGAGGATACAACAAGGATGCCAAAAAGAAGTTTATTTTTGAATATCTGAATTGTAGTAAATTTAAGAAGAAACTTGTTTAAAAGAGAACTCTGAAAACATGAATATGATGTAAGAAGATCCTAAAGCTTATTCATTAACTATGGTTTAAATGAGTAGTTAAAGGATTCAGTATTTGAAAGATGTTGGGTGGACCTATTTCGTGATTTGGTGGATGGAAAGTCTAATGAGAAAGAAATGAGTGATATGAGTTTGTGAGAGGTATCAACAAAGCATTGATAAAAAATAATATAAGCTAATATTAGATAGGAAGAGAGGAATCATCCCAAGTATAGTCGCCAGAAAAACATTTAGGTGGAATACTTTTCTTTTATATTCTTGTTATTATGATATTGATATATCCATCACAAATTTTAAAAGATTTCTCTCCATAATTGTATATTTCATGTGGAGATTAATATACTACCATGAAAATATTTGTTCTTCAAATTCAAAGGTTGAGACTTACAGTCCAATGACGATATATCATGTAAAGACTCGTGAAAAGAGTTAGCAAACTCTAGGAAGGTGTATCTTGGGGATTAAAATTGTAAAATTATTTAGAGAATTATGTTTTGATCTAGAATATTGGATTTGATTTGAAAAGCTTGATTTGAATTGAATGAGTTTGGGTTGAGTTGATGGATTTGAGATGAGAAGGTTTGGATAAATTTTGATTTCAGCTGATTTGGGTTTGACTTGAGGTGAAAAGGGTATGATTTTAGTGATAAAGGCTTGATTTGATTTATGAGGTTTTGACTGAAGTTGTTTGATTTGAGTTATAAGGAGGTTTAATCTAATTTTTATGTATAACGCTCCCGGTGAAGATACCCATGATTTTCCATAACTTTGGATTCATCAGTACTATTAACCAACCAGATAGTTTAGAGGTCTCCATTTAATGTCATAGCGATGGAGAGCGTTGACTTTATTACTATTAAGTGGTTTGAGGTGTCTTTGTAAGTAATCATGTGTTACATCATCTTAGCGCACTATATAGTCTAAGAGGGTTGCATGATGTTTGTTTTATGTGTCATAATCCTTAGCACTAACTACGAGTATCTAAGAATGCAACCTAGGCTTTTAGTCTGGATTATTCTAAAGGATGGGCGATTCTATATTTTGTTTCTAAGTTGGCTATCTTAAGGTTCATAGTACATAGTGGTGGTTTTCATTATTTAGGATGGTGAATTTTATCTTTATTTTTGTTTGATATTTCATTCATGTTTTAGTTCAAGTCTTAACTTGTTGGTAGAAACGAAAATTGATATGACCAAAATGCTATACAACACCAATGATATATGTCAGTATATGTGCGAACTAAATAGTATATGAACTAAGTTCGTGTTTCAATCCCATGAGGAACGAGCAAACCCTTAAAGTTAGAAAAATTTCTCATATATTGGTTTAAGAGCTCATCCTAAAATTTTTAAATTTGGTGATTTTAAAGTTTATAATCCTAATTTTTGTAAAAAGTAAATCCTATAACTAATTTTGTGGTTGAACAAGTGAAAGAAAGCCTCATCTGATTTGTTCCTATGCAAATTAGATCTATCTAAATGATTCTAATGAAATTGACAATCAGGAACACGATTTCCCTTAGCCCCACCCTGTAGTCATATGAAAATTAGGGTTTTATATTACAGTTAGCCCTCTAAAAATGAAAAAAATCATTGTGCTTGCAAATTTCTCTACACGATTACACAATCCAAATAAGAATAGTCCTATTCTCTTAGAGTCATGTAAGTTAATCTAATTTTTTTACTGGCCTACTCCGTAGTACTAGATTAAAACCCATTTTTGACTTTTTAACCAATCAATTTAAGAGTAAATTAAACTCAAAAGTTTAAATTACAAATTGCAATCACGCCAACATGTAATCACTTAACAAGGATTTCACTAACTTGCATCAAATCCAATTATAGGAGAGAAAAGTTTAGGTCCTATTTGTTTTGAATGAAAACAGCTTAAATTTTATCGCAAAATTTAAATTAACAAAATTATAACAATCTTATTGAGATTCTTTATCAATATATACGACGGCACAAAACAATCCCTAAATTGACACCCAATCTGAGTATAGAAATGTATACACATGTATGCTTATACTTGTTCTCTCTCAAGAGGACTCTTGCAATCTCTCACACTCTAGATTCCTCCAACGAAGCGTGTTGTTGACTGCAAGTGTTCTTCCATGACTCCCTCTAGCCTTTTCTTTCTTCCTGTTGGTGTCACTCCAAGGGCCGAGCGTTAAAATGCTGCTGAGCAGCGAAGCTCTGATCCATTCAAAATTGCCCCTTTTGTATCCACAGATTGCCGCTAGTATAAATAATTTCCATAACTGCTTAAGTTTGTTCGATTAGTTCTGAAGTTCTTATCTACAACACTAAAGTCTTGCTCTCTATGTCTCAATCACTTATGGATCCCATTGTCAGCGCCTTGGCACCAGAAGAAGCAGTGCCACAATTTTGGAGGGGGAATCTTGGCTCCCTATAGATGACATCTTAACGTTTGGTGTGGTGCGTAGGCACCTGGTTATGGGCGCCCATGTGCCTGGTTCTCAGTTAGGGAGCATGGAGAGAGGCATGGTCACATCATTTTTGGCGGTGTGTGTATGCCTGATCTAAGGCACCAAACACAACTTAGTTCTTTTTATGACATGTAACCTACAATTAACATAAAAGACACATGGAAAAACATAAATTGGGTACAAACAGTGGAAATAATACAAGAAAATAAATTCAAATATATCGCAAATTTCACTCATATAAAAAATTTTCAAACTTACACATTACTTGCCCTGAAGTAATTTCAAAATTCAAATTCATATTATTCTTTAAGTATAGTGGTGGCTCGGAGTTAAGGATTCAGTGTTCCCTAATAATATAGTAGATGAATAAATCAAAGTGAACTTGTTTTTCCTTGCGATTGAGCTATCGCAGCAACCCCTAATATCCTAATATAACAAATATTAATCTCCTATTTATATAATCATTCTAAATTACTTATGTAAAGCTTGTTTAACATAAATTAATATTTAATCCCAAAAGTCAGTTATCTATTCGATTAACCAATCTTAATTCCTTTATTTCTCTTGGAATACAAAGTTTCTATTCTAAGTTAGGACAGTTATTGATCCTTTGAATTTCAAAAATAAAATTAGCAGTAATTTTTAATTTAACTTTCCCTCAAGCTTCTCCCCTAAGGTTCATGAAAGTTTTCTTTTTTATTAGGAACTTTTTCTACAAATTTTCCTTCCTCGTTTCTTCTCTTTTTCTTTTTTATTTCCTTTTTTTAGGGACTACTTTATTTGGTTTGGTCTTGGAATGATTTAAATACAACCCTCTTCTTAAGTCAAATTTTTAATTCTAGACTAACTTAACTTACAAATTTGTTGTTCAAGAGATGGTAACTAAGAATTTAATCTTTTAAACTATATAGTTACTAAAGTTGTAGTATTGAAATATTAATTTTATATTTAGTCAATATTCAACCGAGTGTTTAGGAACGGTTATAAAGATAGGTAATTACCATTGTTATGGACTAGTGATTAGTGAATTACTAGTATTTTCTAAATTTTTCAAGAAGCTCAAGTCATTTTTATTTATATATTTTATTTATTATTTATTTGCACTTAGTCTCAATTACTACTATTACACATATATCAAATTCCAAAGTTATATTTTTTCTTTTCTTAAAGGTAATATTGACATAAGCACTTACCCGCCAAACTTATTTTTAACACTATACAAGCAAATAACACAAAGAAGTGGGACAAACAA